GTTGCTCCTCCCACCGCTGGTTCCTCCCGGCCCGGCTGCAGGGCCCGCGGGCAGGAGTCACCCCTGGCTTTCTGCAGCCCTCTCCGCTTGGAAAGTGGCCCAGGGAGGCGGTTGTGCAAGTCCGAGCGTGAAAGAAGGCGGAGGAGACAGTGGGAAGAGCCACCCCCGTCCCCTTGGGCTCCCCGGGTCCCTCGGGTGACCCTCCTGGGCTGGGCTCCCCGGGTCTGTGGCCTCAGAGACCCAGCCAGCCACGCAACTGCAGGGCCAGCACCCCGAGCAGGAGGGCGCTGAGGCTGCCCTGGTTGCTGCGGGCACCGTCACACTCCTTTTTGTCCACTTCACACCTGGACTGCTCGCACAGGACCCCCTTGAAGCCCACGGGGCAGATGCAGCGCTGGTTCTGGTAGCAGGTGCCTCCATTCTGGCAGAGCAGGAGCTCGTCGTCACACACGTTGGCTGCGAGGGGGGAGCGAAGGGCCTGATGTTAATCTTGGGGTGCATCAAACCCCTCGACTGCAGCAGTAATGACAAGCTTTGGGCTTCTCTAGCTCCTAAGGGGTTAAATTACCCAACCCCCCTAGTGATAGAGCAGCCCCAAGGCCAGAAGATCACAAGGGGGGGGGGTCTACAAGCTCCAAGGACAAAGCTACCAAGAAACTTTGGATTTGGAAGGAGTGACTGGAGCCTGCTCACCGTGCACCTGGGGCACCTGAGCTGCTGCTGAAGATCCCTTTCTTGTCTGGACCCACCTCACACCTCCCTGTGTCCCTCTGGCTGAGGGGGCTGTGGGGCACTTACGGAAGCAGCCCTGTCTCCAGTAGTAGTTGGGCAGGCAGTCGTCACACTTGGGCCCCGTGGCACCTTCTTTGCATTCACAGTAGCCGGTCTCGTTGCAGCGGTCGTGCATGGAGCCGATCTGGTTGCAGTTACATTCTGGCCAAAGACAGGGCTGTTAGTGGCTGTCCTGCCTGGGGGTTTTGTGCCCGTGAGAGCCTCAACAAAGAAAGCCTTTAGAAAAGGTTGGCTGCATGCTATGGAAGGGGACCCAGTAGGTTGGGGGGCACGGTTTCATGAGAGGTTCCAACAGTGCCAACAGTCACAGGTGCAAAGGCCACCCTGCTGAGCAGCTCCTGGTGGAGAGATGTGTCTGAATTGAGCTGGGAATCACGGAATCTTAGGGGCTGGAAGGGACCTCAAAAGATCACCCAGCCCAACCCCCCTGCCAGAGCAGGGGCACCCAGAGCACATCACACAGGAACGTGTCCAGGGGGATTTGAATGTCTCCAGAGAAGGAGACTCCACAGCCTCTCTGGGCAGCCTGTCCCAGGGCTCTGTCACCCTCACAGGAAAGAAGTTCTTCCTGAGATTCACATGGAACCTCCTATGTTCCAGTTTGCACCCATTGCCCCTTGTCCTGTCCCTGGACATCACTGAACTGGCTCTGTCCTGACACTGCCCTGAATGTATCTGTAAACATGGATGAGGTTGCCCCTCAGTCTCCTCCAGGCTCAAGAGACTCAGCTCCCTCAGCCTTTCCTCCTCAGGGAAGAACTATCTGGGCTTCATTCTCCGGACAGAGAAGCCTTGGTGGGCTGCACAGACTGTCCTTGAGGGCCGTGCAGGTGGGCACAGAGGGGGGCTGGACCCAAACCCACCCCACGGACAAGGTCCCGCATCTCTCACCCAGACACACGTTCTCGTCGTCCAGCTCCGCGGAGCTGTTGCGGTAGAAGCCCAGGCGGCAGTGCTGGCAGTGCTGGCCCCGGGTGTTGTGCTTGCAGCTCACGCAGGTCACCACGTTCAAGAAGTCGATGTAGCTGCAGCGGTTGGAGTGGCCGTAGCACTCGCAGTCTGCGGGGAGGAGGGGAGAGCTGGGGGGGGATGCTCTGGGAGCAGCTCCCCCGGAGCCGGGGGGCTTGGGAAGAGGGTCCTGCTCAGGGGCCACCTGCAGCTGGGGGGGCTGGGCAGGGTGAGGGACACAGCAGGTCATGGGGGGGATCAGGCTGGAAGGTGCTGCTTGGAGAGCAGAGCAGGGACAGGGGGCTCTGTTCCCTAGGGGGGGTGGACAGGCAGGGACCAGCCCCCGGGTGTCCCTGGGACACCATCTCTTTAAGGAAGTGCAGAACCAGGGGAGCAGGCAGAGAGGAGGCAGGTGTTAATCACAGAGCTGCCTCATTATTGAGCAGAGCTTGGGTTTGGCTCTGGTGGGGCTGCGGGATCCGCGGTGGGAGCTGGGCTGGGGTGCAGAGCCCTGGGGAAGGCTCTGCCAAGGGCTGTGGCAGGAGGGGACTGGCCCCTGGGATACTGGCAGAGGGGACAGCAATGCTCCAGGGACAGGAAGGCCCTGGACCAGGTGGGGCTGGAGCTGCTGTGTGCTCAGGTAAAACCTTGCTGCTCCTCTGCCTTTCCTCCCTCCGGGTCCCCTCTCAGCGCGTCTCTTGCTGTTGTACTTCCCAAACCACTGCTGGTGGTGTAGTGTGGTGACTCTCAGGTTAAATGCTTAAAATGGGTCTATGGAAGGAGGTGTGGCTCGTGCGGGGTCCTCCAGGAGATGGTGGACAAGTGTGTGAGTGAGGGTTTGAACCAGGGCTGCCTGGCACAGCACAGGGATGCTTGTGGTGAGGTGGGAGATGCCACCATCACCTGGCACTGCTCCTGTCCCCAGGGCTGACCCCTCTCAGCTGTGGGCATATGTTAGAAAACAACAAACTAGGTTTAATGTCTAACCAGAGGAATTTGATTACTTGCTTGTTGCCTTTGCTTTTCATTACCATGACCTGGGAGGGTGACCACCCTGCAGTGTTTGGTTCAGGGTGTTTCTGGGAGCTTAAGGCAGGGGGAGAGGAGGTACCCTGGGTGTCTTGTGGCCCAGCTCTCCTGGTCAGGAGATGTCCTGGCCAGCATGGGCAGGGGATAACTTGAGCAGAGGTCATGCCAACCAGGCCGGAGCTTCCTCAGCATTCGTAGAGGAGGAGGGAGGCTCAGAACTGGGGTTTTGGTCCAAGATCTAACATTAAACATTCAAGGATGGTAGAGGGATGGGAGGGAAGGATGCAGACTGGCATGCACGTGCAACTGGAGGAGACTTGTGAAAATGAAATGAGGCAATCAGGGATGATGGAGCAGGGCAGAGGTTTCCCCATGGTTCACAGCTGCCTGAGGAGAAGCTGAGAGTCTGCTGTCATCTTGACCCCCTTGAGAAACAACTTTAGCCTGTTTGAACAATACCCAAAGAATTTCAGCTCAAACACTCTTGGTTGCTGCAATTCCCAAGTGTTTCACCTTAGGGATGCACTCCTGGGTAAACCCTCCCCATGTTCTCCACGTTGGAGGCTGCTGGACCCCATCACCCAGGTGAAGATCAGGAGCCCTGGAGCACCACACTCCCTCCTCTTACCTTTGTAGGATGCAATAGGAACCACTGGGCCAGAGGCTGTTTTGAGCCCGATGAGTTTTGAGCTCTTTGAGGATGCTTAAGGAAGATCAGAGACACACTTTTTCTCACCACTTAGCACCACTCCACATCCTACCCTACGGTGAGCAGCTCTGCTATGAGGACAATGCCAAGCCAAGAACACCACCCTGGCAGCACCAGCATCTATTTCTGCAGCAGGGAGCTGCTACATTTCTCCTCTTCTTCTCCCCTTCTCAAAGTCTGATGCATGAAAACCTCAACACACAGCACTATTGCCACGTGTAGAGCTGGGGGCTGAGGCAGAGGAGCTTCTCTCACACCACCCTGTCTTGTATGTTTGGTGGCATGAATTGGGTTATTCAGGATCTACAAGGCTAGACAGCTTGAGAAATCTACTGCCCGTGGCCTCAGTCTAACAGAGGTCATGCCAATCAGCGCCTAAAAAGCTGCTAGGAGTACAGCTAGGAGGACACGAGCTATGCAGGTGGTATCTGGCAGGGCTTGCTAGGAGGTCCTGCAGAGCAGCAGCCTGTCCCCCCAGCACATACCTGCCTTCTTCCCGTGCTTCCTGCCCGCAGAGCTGCCCGCACGCCCTGCTTTCCTCTTCGGGGCTGCACGCGAGACAAAAACAACACCTGAGTGCTGTGGTGGGTGGGAAGGGGCTCCCAGGGCCATGTATCCATGAGGGGTAATTCCTCAGGGTGAGGGGGATGCCCTGCTATGAGGCTTCCTCAGGGCTGTGCTGCTGGCAGGAGCCCTGTCCCACCCGACACCTCTGCATTCATCCTAGCCCCAAACTTGTCTCCAGAAAGATCTCCATGGGGGTGGATGAGCAGAGCTGAGCTGGACCCTCTGAGCAGGAGACCAGATTGTATGATGGAGGGTCATGCCAAGGACTGGTGGATTGTCCTGGCCTACAGGCATTGGGGGAGAAACCTGTCCTGCCCTTGGGATGGGAATGGCCTTACCTTGAACGCCCTTGGGAGGGTCTGGTGGCTTCGGCTTGGGTTCAGGTGCTGCTGTGTTTGGTGGGCTCTGAACAGCTTACAGGGGCATCAGTCAGAGAGAACATCAGATTTAATACAGACTCCCCCTCTTGTTTGTCTACAAAGGTGGCAAAGGGACACTGGAAGCTCTAGGCAGGTATCTAAGGTACATTGGTGTAGCTACATCTGGCTGAGGATGTGTTGAAGCAGGAATAGGAGACAAAACCTCCTGGAAATTAGTCTTTAAGTGTGAAAAGAGACAGAAAAAGTACTACTAAGGGGAGCAGATGGGAGCTGCTGGATGGGCAAGTGTTGGCATGTGGTCATTACATTGCCCAAGCATGGAGAGAAGCTAAACCTGCAGACCACTGCCAAGACTTGGGAGCCCACCTTGCTCAGCACAGACTGTCAGCATCACCTGGCATTGCTGCCCATGGTAGGTGTGTCCCTTGTCACTGTATCATATAGTTTTGTTTCTGCAAGGCCTGAGAGAGGCCCTAGAGCACAGCAAATCAAAGAGCCTCCATGTCAGCACTTTCTGCTCACCCCCCCCAGGTGAATAATTCCAAGCACTGGGTTGTGTCCAGGGCCCAGCTCCAACGTCTGTTACGTTCTGCACGGGAGGGGATGCTCATGTCAGTGGCTGGAGTGACCTACAGGCATCTGAGGTGGGAAAGGGGAGCTGAGCACCACTAGGACACTGCCAGGCTGTGTGTGCTGGTGGGAACCCCGAGGAGGAGAAACTTCAGCCTCAACAGCCAACATGAAACCTCCCAAGGTTCCCTCCAGGAGCAGCTCACGCAGGAGACCTGAAGCAAGGAGACACATAAGGCAGCATCTATGCTACACACGACAGAGGCTGATCTATTTACAAAGTTATTCTGCTCCTAAAACCAGGCTCTGGTCTTGGGAGACACCAGGATCTCCATGACCCTCCCTGCTCCTCCCAGCAGCAACCTGTGAACCAGCTCTTCTACCACTTGCCATCCTCAGCTTTCATGCACACGACTAAACCCCGAGGCTCAATCCAGCCTCAGCAGGTCCCCAGCTGTGCCAGTGGTGGGCACTGACAAACCCTGAGCACTTCCCCAGGTGGGAGGAGGAGAGAGATACATGGGAAGCAGGGATGTGGAACTAGAAACTACTGTGTCTGCCCGCCGGGAACTAGTACTG